CATGTAAACATGATCGTTAAATTGACGGTTTAACGAAAATTAACGTTACCTTTTGTCCGTAAAAACGCGTTAAAAATCGGCGTTTTAACGAACTTTCATGCGTTATGCGACGTTAACATCTGAAAAACGGAGAAAAACGCATGAAAGTTCGTTAAAACGCCGATTTTTAACGCGTTTTTACGGACAAAAAGGTAACGTTAATTTTCGTTAAATCGTCAATTTAACGATCATTTTTACATGGACTTGGTTTCACCGAAAACTCAGCATGTTCTTTCTATCGAAAAATGTGCAAGATTCACATTTGGTTTTCTAGTTTTCTTCAAGGATTTTTTCATCGAAAAATATGTATGAATATGTTTGGACATGCATATTCTTTTTGATTTTGTTGAATTCTATGTGATCATCTAAATGTATCTATTAAAGCACCTTAAAACAACAGTCTGATCACCTTTGGATCCTTTGCACATGACAAAAATATTTTTATTTCCTAAAAATATAAGATGAAAATGCTTTCTCACAATTAATAAAATGGCAACGGTTTTTCATGACATCTTATGAATTTGAATTAATTTTCGTGTGATAGTCTTGACATATCCCATAAGACTGTATATTTCGGTAAACTTAGAATATATGTAATGTAGTGTACAGAATGTCACAAAAAAGAGAGTCAAACCTTTGAATCCCTTTCTAGTTCATTCACAGCGCAACAAATGAGGAATCTGGAAGATATTTTTTGAGAAACATTTTTATAGCTGAATTTTCTTGCTTTATTATTCAAGAAAAATTTGTTTCGCCAATCAGTTACTTCAAGATACTTTTTTTCTAATCAATAACCCTTTTTTTTACTTCGACTCAAATCTAGAATAAAGTTTCATTCTTTCATTTGCTTCCAGCAGCAAAGCGTTCTTTCACCGTTCGTAGTGGTCTTCTTTTTTTTGAAATAACTATTCAGAGTCTAGCCGCCTTCGGCGGCTGTGGGTATAATACAACTAACTTCGTGTTGCGCTTGTCACCCGAAAAACGTAAGCTCCTCTGATATGAATTTATATAGTTTTTTGAAAAAAATGTTTTCTTTTTTTTACGAAAAATTGCGTCTTTGAGAGTGTTTCCTGGTGAAACAAACATTAAATATTTTTACCCGATTATTGTGTCATCAACACTAAAAACCAACGCGAAAAATAATTTATACTGCACTGTTATTATAAGAAACTCATTCCGAAAATGGCAAACAGAGTTAATTTTTCATGAAAGAGCGAAACAGTTCCATCACTATCTATCTCAGAGATTATGTGCGCTATTAGGAGGAGGGGGCAGAGCCCCCTCTACGCCTTTTTTCTGGTTACGCCCCTAAATGCACTTTGACATATACATTAATTTCATTGGATAAATTTTCCTCAGAAAATCGTCTTGGTTTTTTCTATTTATCGATCTGAAGTCCGTTTTGAGAATAAGTGAATCTTTTCTGAGAAAAGTGGAAGGTATTTTTATAGGTAGCATCGTAGATTTCTGTGATTCTGCATTTCTCTAAGAAAGGTTTAGTCGAATCCAAAACGAACTATAGATAAATAAATAGAAAAAATCCCAGGATTTTTGAAGAAAATCTATCCAATAAAATAAGTATATGTCGAAGTACATTGTTTCTTGAAATCACCAGTTCATCGATCATTAAGGTATCAATCTTTTAATTCATTACAAGGGGATTGGCTCAAAAAATGAGCCAATGGACATATGGACCTATCAGAATTTAGAATAAACGCACAGTCCCACTTGGTATACGTACTGGGTACCCCATCGAAGCGTACAGACTGACATGGGGTGCTTCATTTTTATTTTCTTCTGACAGATGACGCACTGTTCCAACGTAAGTATATCTTTTATTTATTATCAACTCGTCTCCAATAAACATAGGTGATAGAGTCACAAGGCTTGGTTACACCTAAGCCTTTCCCCCAGATGAATGCTTCGTGGGCTAGGCTAAGCACAAACACTTTTTTTCCTGCCCTCTGATTGATAGATTTGAGCAATGCATCATATTTTTCGCCGGAGCAGATTTAGAAAACATTTGTGCGAAAACAATAAACTTATATGAAAATAACTTGAGTCAGGATAACTAGAATCTTCCAAAATTTTCCTGTCTTTGGCGACTGAGATTACATACCAAATAAATATTTTTAACAATGCAGGAGAGGAGATCACCATGCAACGTCTTTTCTTTCTGAAACATTTCTACTTCGCCATTAAACTGGTTCTGAGAAAAGTAGATCAGAATCTCTTCTTTTGAAAGGCACATTTGGATGAATATAAACGTTCGCATTTTTCTTCAAATACGCGGGTTTTTTTACGCGTCTTGCGAACTCTTTTATCTGCACCACTGTTACACTATCAATGTACACTTCGTCGAAAGTCATATCGCCAAAATTCGGTGATGTAACTATTGGAAATGTTTGTTTTCGACGATGTTCATTTCAATGACCGAACTTATCGACAATATTTTGAGAAGATACATACCTGCAGTATATATATATGAATATCTATCACAAGTATTCTGCAACAGTGAACATAAGAAATGATCACTAAAACGAAACTCACAAACATAATTGTCGGAAAGAGATTCGACGATCTTCATTTCGATGAAATTCGTCTCAATAACACACACAACCTTGTTGGACGTTATTAAATATGAGTTCGATAAAAGAGATATTAACTCTATTTCATCTAAGTGACACTGAAATGTTCTATCACCTATGACTATATCTGAAACTTAGTTCTACTAACACTATTTGATATGAGAATCTATGTTTCTTCAAACTTTTGTCTATGATTGAATTCAATATAAAATAATGTTTTAAAACAATCAATACTAAAATCATTACATAAGAATAATTGGGTATCGAAAAAGGATATCCAAGAAACTATTAAAATGTTATGTATTATGTTAAAATTAAACATTCGAATCTATTTATGTTTATATATATTCTCTATTTTTTAGATAAACTATTGAACATACTAAATAATTGAATATAAGTATGGCAAGAGCTCGTTCAGTAGCAATAATTGGTGGTGGAATTGGTGGTTTAACCGTTGCTAATGCTTTAAAACAAATAGGAATGTCTGTTTCATTATATGAACGTGCACCTTATTTTATTCCAACTGTTGGAGCAGCATTTGGTCTTCAACCTAATGGACAAATCTCGCTTGCACATATTGGTTTTAAAGATCAAATTGAAAAAATTGTCAATCCTATTCATAAATGGCAGGTTATTAATGAAAATTGTGAAGTAGTAGCTAAAACCGATGAATTACGTGAATTTGGAAAACGATTTGGTTATTTTATGGGTGGTGCTCTTCGAGCTGAACTTGTTGATGTATTAAAAGAACCTTTAGAAAAGAGTGGTATTTTATATTATTCTCATAATATGACTAATATTAAACAAGATAAAGATGGTGTTACAATTTCATTTGATAATGAAAAACAACAAAAAACAGTTCGAGTTGATATGGTTATTGGTGCAGATGGAATTCGTTCAACAGTTGTCAAACAAATCTTTCCCCAAACAGCTCCACCAATATATATAAAAAAAAATATTTTCTATGGTATGATAGATAACATCGATGAACAAACATCAATCAATCCAATAGTAAGAGAGAAAAATACAATAACACAAAATTTTGATCATGGAGAATTTCTCACTTATCCAGCTGGTGATAAAGGACAATGTATGTGGGCTGTTCTTTATTCAGCAGATACACCTCCATCCACTAATGATGATGCTGAATGGACAAAAATGAATAATCAACATGAATTAAATCAATGTTTAGCAAAATTTCGTCAATCACATCCTGTTCATGAATGTGCAGCAGCAACAGATAAACAACGTTTACTTCATTTTGGATTATATTATCGTCAACATCGTAATGATGGTTGGCATCGTAATCGAATTTGTTTACTAGGAGATTCATGTCATGCAACATTACCTTATGTTGGGCAAGGAGCAAATATGGCAATTGAAGATGCTATATCACTTGCAACGTGTTTAGAAAAAAATAATTTTGAAATGGAACCAGCATTTCAAGAATATTATAAAAAACGTTTTAATCGAACAAAACGTGTTGTAAATATATCACGCTATATGGGTTTATTTTATCATTCAGAAAATCCAATTATTCGTTCAATAAAGCTGCCCGTGATATCATGGTTAATAAACTCTGGTATGATGTTGAAGAGTCTTGAAAAAGAAATGTATGGAAATTGTCCTGTTCCTATAGAACAAAAGAATATCGTTAAATAATGAATTTTAAATCGACATCTAACCCTTTTTTTCATATTTTTATTTTAATCAAACTAAAAATAAAAGCTTGCAACAGAAACCGATGTTTATAACTTAGTACATATTGTTATAAAGACGATGTATATGAGGTCAAAATTCTAATGAATAATTAGAAAAGAACATTTGCATGACTAATGATACAATTACAATTGTATACCTCATATTGTATACGTATTAGCATTGCATAATTGATGTTACTATATCGTATGTTTGTGTTTCACAACAGAGGTTCGAAAGTATTAGACTAAACTCATCATATAGATCTATTCTCGAGTAAGAATTGGCATTTTTTTAATTGAGTTTTTTTAAATATTGGGAGAACTTGATAATTCCTACAGAGGCTGTAGATATGGTTGCAAATGTGTGGGTATAGCTAAAAAGAAGATGACACATACTCAGTTTAAGCTTTTTCTAGTATTACCTAGACTCCCTTGTGGACTCAGTATGAGCACAAATGGTAGATTACAGTTGAGGTAGTTTGCTCGTAAGCAACATGTCGTCGAGACAATCATCAATACGATGAAATGAATGAGTTATGCTTCATTCTGACTACTCATACAATACTTTCAACAGTTATTTATAAGATATATTTATGCAGATACTTGTAGTCACTAGAAAACATATTACAAAACTGCTCAACAGTGACTATTCTGATATGTAAATTTGAATAATTTGTCGCTTTTTTAAAAATATTAGTTCCATAGAAATTGTCTTATCGAGACAAAACGATACTTGAAATAAGTATTATCAGCTTCTTCTTTATTAATAATAGAATCATTTTATAGTTTATTGAATTATTCATGATAACTTTGAGTAATATCTCTTATATCTCGGTCATTACTTGTAGTGTATCTCTACAGTTTACAACCATTGCATATTTAAGATTTCAATTGAATAATGGATTAATGTGCACCGAGTTTGTATAGATTATAGCTGCAATATGTTCATTATAAAATCTTTTTCTAAAAACAACTTATTTCTTCTATGTAATATTCCAGTTATATATGATTATAGTTCAATCTCTCGATGACAACAGTTCGTCTTCTCATTTCTACTTAAAAAGATGAAAAAAGAAAATGTTCATATACCATCTTGATCAATATTTTTGAACCAAGATCTATTATGTCATAATTAAGGAGATGAAGTATTTGTATTCAAGCAAACAATATTATTGCAGAGACAGTTCTGAAACAAAGAATAAATTGTTTGAACCATCAATAATGAAATTCTTTTTAGTGATAACAAAATTTTTAATAACATTACGTATTACGTTTGATTGTTGAAATTTGTAAGTTCAGGTAATTAAAATACAAAAGGATTGTATATATGAAGGTGTATGTCAAGAAACATTAGCAGAGTTTTATTTTATATGTAAAGAAAAAACAAGAAAATGGATCTCATGTATACTTATTATAAAATAGTACGATCGTCATAAACAGTGATGAAAAATTTAGTTATTTTTCAGCATTGTTGAGATTTCTAAGAAAAGAAAATTTCAGGCATTTGTGTTGCAACTAGTTCGATACTTGCCAAAATGATGAAATATCCAAAGTTTATAAAAAAATTTAATTTCTACAGCTATCCGATAATCAAGTTCATAGAAATTTTAGTGATTTTTTGTTTTGAAATCTGAACGTTCCTCATGAATCTGCATAACAACAAGTATATGATCTGTTAATAAAAGTTAAAAAGTAATCTGTTCAGTTGAAACTAACCAGATATCTTTGATACTGAGACAAGAATCGAGGAGAATTGATGAATGACAATGATGATTATAAATGTATTATAAAAACAAATATACTATTGTAGTTCAATTAATATTTAACTTCGAAAAATAATCAGATCTACCAATCACTAATCTATGAATAATTTCAAAATAAATGAAGAAAACAAAAAGTTTCTGTTTTCATTTGATATGGCCTGATCCTTTCATATGATACCTCGAAGTAATGAAAAATAAGAATAGCATAGATTTGGTAAAAAAGAAAGAAAAAACACTGAAAGTAAAAATATTGAAAGTGTTATTTAATGCAGTTTTAGCATATACCTTGATCAATACAGAATGCGTAATCTGCAGCATCATCTATATCTTTCAAATAAGCCTGAATGATATGTATTCAAGATGTATTAATAGCATTTTTGCAAAATATTTTTTTTGTACTGTCAAATTGATACATACTAAACATAATACTTTTAAGTATGGCTAGTTATATAAGAAAAACGAGCTTTTCTTAACCAAGGACGATTATACAAAATGTTTTTTATATTTTTTTTGACTAGAATAGTATTTAAGAAGATATTTGTATATTGAAAGCACCGTAAAGTATATAGGCTGGAATATGGCTTACAGAACTGGATAGCGCAGAATAGAAAAAGTTGTCCTGTTTTTACTTTGAATCAGAATTAAAACAAACTTTTGAAATATGGTAGGCTTTGAAACTATACAGTCCTGGACAAAAGTAACTGCTCTAAATGAAGTTCTACTCTTCTTTATGATATTGGTCTGATATTTTGGGTGTATGCGTGTGATAATATACTCTAATCCAAAGTACCAACTCGTCCATCATTAGTTCAGATGTAGTGAAATTGTGATTTACACATCTTCTTGCCATTATGGAAACTATATTCAGCGCAACTATACATTCAAAAAGTTTTTATTTGTCATATTGCTATTCCATAAGCTACCATCGTTTTTTTTCTAGTGCTAAAGATGGTTCCATATATCTACTCTATTATCATCAAAGTTCATGACATATAAACAAAATCTTAGTAATTAGCAGACTATGAGATAGTGAATTCATGTCGCAGCTCTATCTCCATTTTATTCAATGTTTTGGCTCTAAAAAACTTTCAGACGAGACTTGTGATCTTATGGAAACATTATAATCAAATTTTTGAATACATTCATCAAAGTCATCATAAATGAGAACGATCTTATTAAAAATTAGCATGTACTCTTCATTAGACATTCCTAATGAGAAGACAACATCTCAGTTATTTCAAAGTGATTTCTAATAAAATTCGAATTAGATGTAGCTATGATTTGAATGAACAGTCTGACGAAAATATATATGTAAATATGGTTGAGATATAAGTGTTCACAAAAGGAAAATAATATCTGAACTATCATTCCAGTACATATGAACTGATTGAAGATGGGTTAGTGTTTGCAATCAGGATTTATTGTCACATACATGCACGCAAAATATCAACTCAATATCATAAAGAATAGTAGTATTTCATTGAGGACAACTATTTTTGAACAGGACTATTTACAGCACAACCAAAAAAGCTCTTCTCAAAAAATTTGTTATAAATTTCATTTTAGATATTTAATTCTAAGAGATGAAGAGAGCTGTTTGTTTTTAGACTAATTATATGCTTTGATCAAGTCAACAACAAATAAAGATAACTTTATAGAATTTAACAGAAACATACTATAATTCATAGAAAAAGTTGCATACAAATCTAATACAATGACAAACAAGTTTATTCTTCAATTATTTATATTCCAATTCTACTGCTTAATCAGAAAATAACATAGATTAATCTTACTATTGACCAAAATTAT